ATTAAAAAAAATAACTCGACCACCAGATCTAATGTGCGAATCTCTCTATCAGAACTAATAGTTGAATTAAAAAATAATAATAAAAAAAAAATTACTGAAAAAATAATAATAAAATATGGGCACGGAAGCGATACCCTCTTATCCGTATAGAAACACAGCTCTCAATTCTGAAAGAAACTGAAGCACTTCACAGAATTATGCTTCCTTCCAATCTTCTTTCTCCCGCTGCAAATTTGTTTTTGCTTCCATCAACGTCATGCTCGCCCTGTAATCATGGTTCTTCCTCTCTCTCTCTCTCTCTCTCTCTCTACTGTATGTTATTTTTTTTTATTTTTTATTTTTTTTGTAGTATTGGTGTGTTATATTCAGTTAGGAACTTGTTCTGATTGTTCATAGTTAGTTCTAGCCGAAATTGTATGTTGATTTTATGTCGATTGAAACTGCATTTTGAAGCTAAGTGGATGAGCTCAAATTCATCAATGCATATGATCTTCACGCATCAGGGATTTGGATTTCGAGGAATCAAAGTCGAAGAAACCGAAGACGGACAACAATGAGAGTTGAAATGGAAGTGGTGGCTCCTCAAGCAGGGAATCGGCTTTACCTTGGGATGGATTTTGGTACCTCTGGGGCAAGATTTGCGCTCATTGACAAGGAAGGAGCCGTTTGTGCGGAAGGAAAGAGGGATTATCCGCTCTTTAAGGTACGTGAGTACAGAAGTTACGAATCATGATGATAATTTGAAGTTTTGTTTATATTTGTGAGGTAATCAGGTGAATTTTTGTTTTCAATTTACTGATGGATGAGCTAAACTCAGCCTATATGAACATATTTAATAGTGGCTTGCGTAAATTGGTTGATGTGTTTTTTTAGAGTTATTTGGTGGGGAAGGGACATCAATGCGATAACAGTAAAATGTTGTCTATTAAATATTAAAATCAACCATTGACAATCACGAGTTAACCATTTGGAATCTTGGTAAGTAAAGATTGCTTCAAAAGAGGACATGTTGATGTGAGATATCCCCTATCGCGTTTTGTCTTGGGCTATGGAGTTGAGTGGCTTACTGCCTTACTGCTTAGATCGAAATTAAGTCAGGTACTTCAATGGTATTTAAGAAAAAATTTCAAAATTATGCCGAAGGATTCACGGGTCCAAATCGCCCTGTCGCCAGTTTACTAATAGCTTAATTTCAAGTTTTTGAACCACTAACTTCCCTAATTGTTGTAAAGTTAGATAGTGTGAGATCTCACATCGGTTGGAGAGGAGAACGAAGCATTCTTTATAAGAGTGTGGACTTGGACTATTACAGATGATATCAAAGCCAGACATCAGGCGGTGTGCCAACGAGGACACTGATTCTCAAAGAGGATGGACACCGAGCGGTGTGCCAGCGATGATGTTGGGCCCCAAAGGGGGTGGATTGTGAGATCTCACATCGATTGGAGAGGCAAACGAGTGCCACCGAGGACGCTGGACCCTGAAGGATGGTGGATTGTGAGATCCCACATCGGTTAGAGAGGAGAATGAAGCATTCTTTATAAGATTGTGAAAACCTCTCCTAACCTCTCCCTAGAAGGCGTGTTTCAAAACTTTGAGGAGAAGTTCGGAAGGAAAAGTCCAAAGAGGACAATATCTGCTAGCAGTGAGTTTGAGGTTGAGGTGTTACAGATAGTTAAGAAGGAATCACTTCATGATACAATTTTGTTTTAATAATGCTCGACTCTGTTAGAGAGAGAAGGAATCAGGTTGCGTTGATTCACTCGTAGCAACATGAATACAGTAATCAGGAATGATGTTACTTTACTGTTGTCTAGAAAGAATGACGAAACAATCGACTGGGCAAGATCGTGGAAAACAACACTTTTCTCATTGCTTGAAGATGTTCCAAATCATTATCGTCATTTGGTGGCATCTATTTCTATTGATGGCACATCTGCAACAACCATAATTGTGGACAGGTCAACATGCTTTAGAAATTTCTGCCCTTCATTAGACTCTGTCCCTTCATGTAAAGTCTGTATTTGAAGCAGCCTATACTTGCGCAGCAACACAGGACAGCCATTATCAAAGCCATTATTGTACAATGAGACTTGTCCTGATGCCTTACCATTGGTGAAGTCTATTGCTCCAGTGAACCATACAGTCTGCTCTGCGTCATCTACTTTATGCAAGCTGGTTTCATGGTGGAACAGTGCCGACTCAAATAAAGAATATGCCACATTGTTACATCAAGCAGATTGGTTGTTGTGGTTTCTACATGGGAAGCTTGGGGTTTCAGATTATAATAATGCTCTGAAGGTGCTCTTTAACAAGTTTTTTGCACTTTGAGTGCATCTTTTGTTTTCCAGATCACTTTAGAATAGCCAATAGCTAATTAAGCTTTTCTTTCTGCATCACAGGTTGGCTATGATCCTGAAATTGAATCTTACCCACCCTGGCTTCTTGCTCAACCATATTCTATGCTTTTACCTCACGTCAAAGCTCCTGGAACTTCTATTGGATATTTGAAAGAAGACATTAGATCACAATTTGGTACTTTCGCCAATTTTTAATACCCAGAACACAAGTAGTTGAGAGTGCCAAAATGTGAAACTGCATGCTGTTTGCCGCTTATCGTTGTTGGAAAAGTTTGCTGAGAAATTTTTTTTGATGGAAGGATGCCTTGCCTAGTAAAGATTGATTCTACGAAAAGTTAACATATAAAATTGAAATGGTATTGTTATGACATATAAAATTTCAACTGTTATTTACATATACAAGTTCAATGTTTGTTGGTTGGTTCGAAGTCCAACTCCTATTATAAGCAATTAATTGTTTATATGATTCTCTTAAGCACTTTGTGAATATTTGCATGCAAGTCTCTCATCTGAGTTCATCCAGTGGTAGGTTTTGTATGTTTTGAACGAGTTGGCGCTTAACAAGAACCTTTGTGCAGGTTTTCCAAATGATTGCATTGCATGCACAGGAACCACGGATAGTATTGCTGCTTTTCTTGCAGCACGTGCAACAATGCCAGGGCAAGCTGTAAGGATGCTATATGACTCTTTTTTTTCTTGGAGTTGATAAATTATTTTCCCAATATTTCTGTCACGCACTTGGGGCAACTTACTTACCTTGCTAGGTACAGAGGATAGGAATAGGAAGGTTTATGACCGTCGTATTTTGATATTTTTGATATACATCGAAGGAAACATGATGGATCAATTGGAAAACGAAAGTGGAAATATATTCTGGGAGTAGATTTACAGGAATCTCCTTCAAGACCCTGTCTTGCGGGGACTTGAATTTGAAACGTCCAGGTTTCCATCCCTTGATTATTCAATTTTAAAAAGAAACAAGTTTACCCCATTTTATTTATTTATTGACTTTAAGTTGTGATGGTTTTCACACAATTCATACTATTCCATTTTTTGAATTTTTAGCCAAATTTCAAATTTTAGGGTTTTTTTTTTTTTTTTTTTTTTTTT